TAAAATGATTCAATGAATTAATTTGGTTGAGTATAACAATAAGAGTATTGAATTGATGAGGTTGTTGGTATGCCCTATGCATGATGTTTGGTGCATGATAAAAATAGTATAGGGTTTGATGCATGCATAATTAATTAGTAAAAGGAGGGTTTGGTAAATTGATTTAAATTATATTATATATCAAATATATATATATATATATATATATATATATATTCGGATTGGATTCGGGGACGGATACGGATTGGGGACTCCTATAACCATATTCAAAACATAACCGAATAAAGTTCACGGCTTTTCCCCATATCCATACCATACCCGAATTTTCATATCCAAATCCAATCCATTCGGACAGTTATCCATGGTTATCGGGTTTAACGGTTAGAATTGCCATCCCTAGTAAAGATAGAGTTATAAATCAAATTGGTGTAAAAATAAATTCACATATTGAATTTGATTTATAGGGGTATATTAGGTAATAAATTTAGGTTTAAAGAGATATTAATAGTTTAGTTAAAAATCAAATGGGTGTAAAGAATAAATTAAGTGTAGATATATGTTACATGAATTTAAATAAAATTTCTCATTATTCGGCCAGAAGGATAGACACATACACTAGAGAATGTAAGCTAATGACAACAACTGGTTTGTCACGCTTCACACACAATAATGTTGTTTTGAGTGATCAACTTGGCTTGCTTTTTCATTTCATTATTATTTGATGTGGAGGGGCATCCACGCTAATTCTTGCTCGCCAAAAATGCCTACACAGCAAATGGTGACATTACTCTAAGCTGAGAGAATATGTTCAAAGTTTTAGCAACCGACGGAAGCTCTTCGGTATTTGTATTGATTGAATCTTGTGGTAGCGTATCTCTAACAATCTTGAACACAATTTACGATATCACCAGTTATACATAATTACGCATATATTTTTTCCGCATCACCTGAATCACATACGTATTCATGTCGACTGAGTTTTACCGGAACTTGGGTTGCACACTGTAAATCTTCGTGCTCTTGTAGAAAGGCAAGAGGAGATATTTTTCTGTTGTGATAAGCGCAAAAGAAGATATTTTATTAGGTCGGAGAAAATATCGTCAGGAAACTTCCTGTTTACAAGGAAAGGATCTGTCGGATATTAGCTGTATTGGTAGCTACTTTTTTTTCATAACAATAAATGAGGGCTGCTTTTTGATGAAATTAGAGTTGTGGTCCTTAATCTCCTCGATATGGGCAATTGGGCATGGATGGGAAAAAAATTTCAATATACCGAAAACACGGGATGACGATACGATACATATTGTTATATAAGAAAAACTAATAAAAATTTAAAAAAAACTTTCCTCTTAATGAAAAACCATTTTAAAGGTATAGTGAATAATACCAGAGAAAAATATAAATGTGATTTTTCGTTAAAAGGGAATAGTACTTTGTATGTATTTATGTTTCGATGGCACTGAAAATCTCCTGTTAATTGGACCACCACCATATGGGGAGTTGGATAAAATTCCTGTTAATTGGACCACCCTGATATGGGGATTTGGCAGTTAGCACTTGGGAGCATCCACCCCTAGTGAATCATTTAATGAGACTGCTTTAGACAACAGATACGTTAAAGCATGTCAAACCATGCCATAGCATTAGAGTATACGCCAGTTTTAGAGGAGAGAGGCTTACTTGATGTAATTTTCACGGTATTTCAAATTAATAATGTATTGTTTGTGTATTTATTTTTGTTATATGATAATGCGCCATTAGTTTGAAAGGTTGTCATAATGCATGAAGTCGTGTAAACAATTTATTCTCCAATTTTAGTTTTGAAGTGATTTCGATGAAATCTTCCTTTTTGAACATTTTGACATCATTAATAAATTTAGTGTTGAATTAAAAAACGTGGCTTATGTATTTAATTAATAATATGTTGATGGATATTTCAGATTTAGTTAATTTTTTGCCTAGATGAAACATTATTAATTCTGCAACACTTTTAACATCAAATTAGAGTCGATGAGCGGAAATGCATAAGGAAATAAGACAAAATTAATCAAGAATCAAGGTAGGGAAGCTTAATTAAAAGGATAATTTAAATTAATAAATCGATCGATTAATTTAATTCGACACTTAAAACCCGAAGTGTTTCGTCTTCTCCCGTCTCCGGCGTTGAATAATGGCTGCCTTGACTGAGGTTGACACCATGGCAATAAGTCGAAGGTTTGTAAAACCTAAACACGACCAGCCAATGATAGCCTTGTACCACCAACTACCGTATATGACTGACCTTCTTCAACTGTTTCGGTCTAAGGTGGCTAATGGCTCTGATGGTGATTAATGGTTTTAATCATTTTAATTCAGCTTACGTTTTTTAGTCAAAATGATCTTAGATATTGACATACCTTATCACTTTAGTTTCTGATAATGAAAATCATTAAAAGTGATTATTGAGTTTGTCCGCTGTAAATCTTTTGGTTATTTCGTTATAAATCTGTCAATATTCTCATTAAATTATCACTTAAACAACCACATTACTATCTTTTTAAGGGTATTTTTGCCAAGAGTCGTGCTATCCACACATGTATTTTTACCTCTCACACAACACTTATTAATTTTTGTTCTTTAATTTTCTTTAGTTCATTCGATCTGACAACCGAAAATTAAGATGAATGTGTGGACAGCATCAGCTGCATCACCCTTTTGTCAAACTAACCCTTTCACTTCACGAGAATATTAACAGATTTCTCATAGAATGACTACAATAATTTACGATGGATAAACTTAAGCACCATTCTCTCGATTTTCTTTGTCAAAAATTAAATAGGAGTTATATTAATCTCAGGAACCATTTTAACTGAAAAAATCATTGAGATTATGAGTAAAATGATCAACAAAAACTAATGAATCTGAGCATGCAGTTGCTTTCTTGTAAGATATTTTCTGGGGAATAGTATCTAATTCTTCCAAAATTATTGTGATAGTTCAACGATTATATATATATATATTATTTTTATTTTTATTTTATATATAGGTTTGGTATGAGAGATTTTTCAATGTGATCAATACAAGAGGTGGTACATCACGTGTTATTATATAAATAGTGAGATATGAGTGTTAAAAAGTTAATAACTTAAAAAAGTAAAATTTTCCATTACTTAAATAAAAACACTAATGCACTTCTCGTATTCTGATCATAATGAAAAATTTCTCGTTTTGTAGAACAGTCTAAGGGAAGTTAAAGCTAACCCTTTAATGCGTCTCTTTCTTGCAAATCGACGCCGTTGGTCCAATTGTTATAAATATAACAGACAGATCGTCAACCTGGAAGAGGTATTTTGGTGAGACAATGTTGACCTTAATTATCCTTATGAATTAACCCAGTACCGGTCCTACGCTCAAAGTTTATTTCCCAAGTGCGGGAACCAGAAGAAACATGCGTTAATTAAATAAAAAGCTAGCCAGAAACGACTGTCTGCAGCGATTCTCCGATTGCCAACTGCCCAGGTTTCATGTATTTGACTCTGCCCGATGAGGCTGCTACTTCTTCTCGTGGCAGTCGCTCTCTCTTGACAAACTTCAATTTCCATCAACATACGAGAGATTTTTTCAACGTGCTCGAAATATGGGTTGGATAATGTGTGTTGTCATACAATTGCAGAAAATTCCTTTCAAGTGTTTCTATAATTGTATAATATCATGTGGTGTTCTGTTTCGTATTTTAGACATACTGAAAAAAATCTTTCATACGAATACGATACAATGCGTTTACACAATACTATGTTTTACCAAAATCAGGGAAATCATCGTGTACGTTTGAAATGAAAATTTCAGAGGCTATATGTTGCTAATCAATAATCATGAGATTCTATAAGTAAAAAAACACTGTAATATTTTGTTTTGTAGCCATCTTATGTTGGTAATCATGAGATTCTAGAAGGTAAAACGGGGATCTACCAAGATCTAATTATTGACTAATGTTTCATATTCCAGTTATATAATCTTTTTATCTGTTTGGAGCGTGACTAATGAATAAATGCAAGAATTCTGCATTTGATTATCTTTCATATCACGTAACTCACGTGATGTGCAACATGGATAGAAAGTGAAAATTTACTAGTTATATGAAGAATTTTGCGGTTGATTTGATGCAAATGAACATTTTGTGTAGATTTTTTAATACTGTATTGCCATTGTACTAGCCATATTGTACTAGTGTCAGTTTGTTACCTATCAAAATGTCTTCATCTTACTCGTCACGGATTATTTTCCATGTTGCATAAGTTTTATCGTTGTACGAGCCTAAGAAATTCTAGTAAAAGAGTATGGTAGAACAACCTATGAAATTAATAGCAATAAAATTGACATATCAATAGAGTTCATCACACCTGCCTGTTACCTAAAATTCACTTTCCTTGATCCATATTATCTTGTGTACTAGTATTAAAATCTAAACCATAAGCTTTAGTTTTCTCGAACTCTTCCATTCTTTCCTCTCTTTTACATTCAATAAATTAAAAAAAATAACCATCTCAGAGTGGTCCAGTTGTTTGAGACAAATTACAAGCCCACATTTCATGCATCAAGTAATATGTTTAATTCTTAGTATTGGTGAATCACATGATGCTGGCTAAAAGAGACTGAAATGCCTTTGTGAGTATTCCGGATCTCCAAGAAGGTGGACTGTCGTGGTGAAACCACCGGCTGATCTCCCTTTTTAAGCGAAAAAAAAAATCAAAAGAAAATTAATGGACATAAATTAAAGAAGAAGTGGGAATGAAAAACCAGAAACGTAACAATCGCTTTATCAGAAGAAAAGGAAATAAAAGAAGTTAGAAAAATGTTTGTCCGTTGAGAAAAGTGTGCCAAAATAAACCATGAATCAAATCAGTTGGATTAGTTACCCTCTGTTTTACTTGAGAGAAAGACCTGCCCTTTTCATTGTATCACCCTAACGCAACGTAAAAAGTGAAAAAGTTTCCTAACGCAACGTGGAATGGAAGACGCAAAGGAAAAAGCTTTCACCTCTTCCTCTTGCCTTTTCTTCTATAAATTCTCTGCCCAGCCAACTTTTCAGAAAATCCCACACACCCTTTCCTCTGTTCTCTCTCTCCAAATCCCAGCTTTGAATCCATGGCTCGACTGCCATCATTGTTAATTTCTCTGTTAACCATCCTGGGGCTACAAACATCAGGTAATAATCTCTAATCCCAATTAAATTCCCAGCTTTGTTATAATTCTGGGTCCAATTTTGTTAATTTGTGTACTAATTTTGCCCTGTTTTATTAACGTGCAGGTGTTGTTTCAAGGACATTCACAATGGAGAACAAGTGCGACTACACAGTGTGGCCGGGCATTCTCACCAACGCCGGCGTCTCACCTCTTCCGACCACCGGCTTCGCCCTCGCAAAGGGCGAAACGAAAACTATCTCCGCCGCAGCCTCGTGGGGCGGCCGCTTCTGGGGCCGAACCCTCTGCTCCCACGACTCTGCCGGCAAATTCTCCTGCCTCACCGCCGATTGCGGCTCAGGAAAATTAGAATGCTCAGGCAACGGAGCCACCCCGCCCGCCACTCTAGCTGAATTCACACTCGACGGCTCCGGCGGGCTTGATTTCTTCGACGTCAGCCTCGTGGACGGGTACAACCTCCCAATGCTGGTCGTCCCCAATGGCGGCACTGGGACCAACTGTACGAACACCGGCTGCGTTACCGACCTCAACACCATCTGCCCTTCCGATCTCAAGGTCACCAGTGCCGACGGAGGTGAAGCAGTCGCGTGCAAGAGCGCGTGCGAGGCGTTCGCTCAGCCGCAGTACTGTTGCAGCGGCGCCTACGGTTCACCCGACACTTGCAAGCCCTCTCAATACTCTCAGATTTTCAAGAGCGCGTGCCCGAAAGCATACAGTTACGCTTACGACGACAAGACCAGCACCTTCACATGCGCCGGTGGCGACTACACCATCATCTTCTGCCCATCGCCTAGCACCAGGTAAATTTACGGAATTATCCTTTACGTTCTGCTTCCCTCCTTTTTCGACCGTTATAAGGGTAGTTTCGTCCTCCCGATTAGCTTCGTATGAAGCCGTTAGGGGTGAAAATTTTTCACTCATTTACTTCCTGGTGCTAGGTTTTTTCCGTTACGTCGGTTTAACTCAACGGAATATCCGAAAGGTCACAAGTCATTATCAGTGATGGGGGCTAACAAACGGACGGCTAAATATATTACACATTATCATGCATTTTAACTGACTAACTAAATATATTATCACCGCTGCATGCATGTTTCATGGAAGTCTTTCTCTTGATTTTTTCAAGCATGATTCAATTGAAAAAGTCAAAACCAATCTTAAAATTTGTTTGTCGAGAAATGCTACGGGCATTCTTTCAAGATGGTATATGAACTCTACCACCTTTTATTTTAACGTCAAATTCAATATCAATATTATAAAATGTTGTATTAAAAAAAATATAAGGTAGTAGAGAATCTACGAAGAGTTTCCTTAGCATTAGTACAGAATACTAATTTATGAATTTGTGTCTGCCACCAAATAGATTAAACAAATGAAGGTCGAAACGGTCTTTTCAAATAAAGTGGTGGAGTGGTGCACTTATAGAATTCCAGGCTGGTCCATTTAGAAGGAAAAGGGATCCGAAAGATTATGTGATCGTGATCGTTCACTGTACATTGTAAAGTTAGAAATCATTTTAAATTTAAAATTTAAAATTAAATATAAAAAGTATCTAACAAAAAATGATCGCACGATATATAATGAACGATCACGATCACGGAATTCCTCGGATCCTCAAAAAAATGATCCTCCCATTTAGAATTCCACATGCGGTCTCCGATGCCGGAGCAAAACGCAGATCCGATTCCCCTTCTTAATTAATTAAAACTCAACACACACTCCAAAACTCGTCACATTATTTTTGCATTGGTCCATAATTTACATTTTTCATGGTATTTATTTTTGTAACGGTAATTGTACTGACTCTGAATATTGTGCAATTTTACAGCCAGAAAGCGTCACAGGACAACACACAGCCGCAGCCGACAACCACACCGCCGTCGACAACCACCTCAACCTTGCCGCAAGAGATAAACAACACAATGGAGTACGAAGGCGGCTCATACGATTCATTTTCGGCCGCGTCCATTCACACGTTCGAACCACGTGTAATGGGTACGGTCGGCGTCATCGCTTTGCTATGGCAGCTCTTGTTCTAACTGAGTCGCTGTTGGTTGGGCCCATGTGATTCAATAACATGGCCCCAATTTAGGATGGTGGACCCTTCAACATTTTTCTTTTCGAAAGAGGGTCCTCATCCTGAGATCCTCCTGATGATCGATCTATCTGGACCGTTCAAAATTTAATTCAACGGTTCTAAATAGGGGATTTTTGAAAAATTATAATAATTGCAACCGATAGATTAAATTTGAAAGGTCTAGATAGATCGGTCAAGAAGATCCCTATCTTGAACTCAGGAGAGGATCATCTTCCTTCCTTTTCTGGCCATGTGAATTTTGGTAGGTGGACCCACATGGATGGCCATGGTTACGTGGAATAGAGTCATGTGATGGGAAAAGCCAGCCTACGAGAGATTTTTCAATGTGATCGGAATACAAGATAGTACATCACATGTCGCTATACAAATGGTGAGATATGTGTGTTAAAAAGTTAATAACTTAAAAAATAAAAAATTTCACCACTTATATTAAAACACGTGGTGTACTATCCATATTCTGATTACAATAAAAAATTTCTCCCCACCCACCTGTCAGCTTCTAAAATCCAATTGGCAGAGGTTAGATTAGATTATTGGATTATTAGGTAATTAGATTAGAAATTAGGGATTATATATGGAAAAATTATTGCGGCTCATTTGAAATTTTTTTTTATTGTTTTTCGTCATCCAATTCTTTATATTAAATGGAGGGTCGAAATTCATTTTTGTTTGTTGTGGGGAATGTAGTGATACACATCATATGTAAAATATACAATATATAATTTATATATTGTAAACTGCATAATTTGTTTCTAAGATAATGAAGTTTTTGTTTTTGCTAAGCTTGTATTATTTCCATTTGATGTCACTTTGTCACTCAGCATTTTGTATATACTTTTGTATCATTTAAATTGGACATTATATGCAGCAATGATGGGATGAGGATAATGTAAATAATAAAGCTTTTTGAAGTTTGATTATTCAAATATGTGGATGGTTATGCATGAGATGACCTTAATCATTCACTTTCTTCGTGTTTAATATTAAAGTTTGAGAAGTGATTTTCGCAGTCTCTCTCTATCAATCATCACACTTTACATTTTCACAGACATGTATTCATAATTATAATTTGGAGACTGTGAGTGCACATGATGGCTAAACTAATTATGTTAGAGTTTGCAATGACCCTATCATCGGTAATAAACCCTAACTAACTTATGTTGACATTATGACACATTTGCGTCATCCATGGTTATTCTTTCTTTTAATTATTTCATGTTATCATAATCCTTAGAAACAAAGGTTTGGTGATTGCGTTATTGATTGCGTCCCAATATACCTATGGACTTACTTTCTCATCATAATCAAAATATATCACAAAACCAATTAAGAAGAACTTGTTTCAATGCTAAATCGAGATTGTCAAACGTAAATTTAGCTGTCTTACTAATGCATCGATGCATCGCACATACAAGTAAATTATAGAATTCTCGACGATGTCGTATAACAAACATAAATTGACCTCGTACAACAGATGTCGTATATGTGTTAAAGATTTTTTGGAATAAAATTTGTGGATTGAATTGTAACAAATGTCTATTTATACAAATTCACTTTTTGTAAAGTGTGGCTCATTTGATCGCTGTAAGTGTCAAGTGTGTAAGCAAACAATGACAAGGTTAAGATTATACATGTGGTGGGTGGTGACTGTTTGAGGTTTCGAAGTGGCCAATGGAGGTCGGTGTCAAGAATCAAGTAGCGCACGTCCTTCATTTGGTGGTGCTGCTGCGGCTGCTGCATGCGCATGGAGCTTCCGTCATACGGACGATGGTTCATTGGCTGGCTTGGCCTACCTTATCTACGCTACCACCACACCACACCACACAATAATATTTCTAACTCTTCATTTTATTGATCTTATTTTATTAAATTTTTAATCATATAAATTATGTATATATAACTCATGAGAGATGTGGAGCGCCGTATATTCCTTCCACTCTGGTGTGCGTGTGCGCCCCTTTAGTTATTTTCTGGCTCGGGTCAAGAATTTTTGGCATGTGTCCAAATTGGCTTATGTATATAACATATATGTTCATGAACGACCAGTTTCATAACAGGTATATTTGGAGCGGGATATGATAGTGAATTTATCGTTTTGTGATCACGTAATGGTCATGTAAAATTTAGTATTTTTATATTTTTGGCTCAAAAATAGAATTAAGATCGTCATATGATCAATACATGATACGAAACAATCAATATAAAGATGTAGGTCACTATATATATATATATATATCGCTTAATGAACAGTGAAGCTTTATGTCCAATCAAGCTGTACTACTTCTTGTTGGGGCTGCGACAGCCCACCGAATCCACTACTACTGATTTAGTCAAAATGCAGCCGCGAAACTTTGTTTTGAAGTTGGCAAACACTTCAAGATGCTTGCTTGTTAAAATTATTCCTTTGTTTTCAAGTTGGCAAACCCTTAAAGTTGCTTGCTTGTCAAAATTATTCTTAATAATTTCTTTGTATTATTGTTTATTTAATGAAATTTGAAGAAGGATGATTACCGCTAATTGAAATCCGAGTCATGATGAATGAGATGTTGGACCAAAGTGCAGTGCAGCCACACTTTTGTCTTGTCAACTTGACTCACACAAAACTAATCTTCTACTTAACTACTACCTCCTGCATTAGTTTTCTATCCTTATGTTTACATAAATGACTCGACTGTATATGCATATATATGAACAAACTAAAAGCTTTCATATATATATATATATATATATATATATATTATATAGGGATTCGTTGGGGCATCATTTTCGCCAATAAAAACAAATACAACCTGAAATTCAAAGAATATGATATATACATACATACATAATATATATATATATATATGTTGCCGCCTGAATATGTGTATGTACATATATAATTAACAGACAAAAAATAACTATATTAAAGGGCACTCTGGATAATGATCTGAATGTGAAACTTGCCTCCATTTTTGACCTATAATCCTTTGTTGGAAAGGAAATTACTTTTTTTTTTTTTTTTTTTTGGTGTGTGAGTTAATTATCAAGCCAGAAATAAGTGAATCTCCACTGTATACAAACTTTTTGTCAAACTTAATCGCTCAGACAAATTTTTAATAAAATATATAAAATTGCTAGTTGCAGATTCTTTTGTTTGGATCATGCCAAGCAATACTAGTTGCATATTCTAAACGCCGAACTGCGTTATCCATAAGTTATTGGACTTTACAAAGTTTTCAACCAACAAAAACTCTTCTTTCAATCTTTTTCCTTTTGAGTTTTTCTTGTTTGTTAAACCGATAAGTCCATCCAAATGAGCTTTTATAGAAAGTCTGCAGAGCTAAGCCCATCTGGCCGAATGAAGCAAAATTATATGCAAAGTGTATGTGTGTTGGGCCAAACACACAACTCAGACAAACTGCATTTTACTCAAATCAGCTTCCGATCCTAACCTCATTCTTTTGAAACTCCGAATTGGTATTTATACGTATATTTAAAGGAAAACTAATAAAAAGAGCTTGAAAACTTTGAGTTTTAATAATAAGGATAAAATAAAGGGTAAAGTGAATAGTACTAAGCTTAACTTTTTAGTGTAAAAATGTGGTTTTTCATTAAAGTGAACAATACCGCGGACTTTTCGTTAAAACTCCCTATATTTAGGGAAAGAGAAAAAAAAAAAGGATGTTCCTAGCACTACGGTATAATGGTATATAGTGTTTTTAAGTTCGACTTTTATGAATAACGAGTTCAATACCTAACGAGCAGCTTGTTTTACTATTGATATAAAGGTTAAATTGCATGGCACCTGCATTCCATGCCATCACTTTGTCAGCTGCCCCTTATTACAACTTACAAGTCGATCTTTCCTTTCAATGTAATTGTTGCATAAATTAGATAATCAAAATTAAACTCATTAAGTCTCGAATTTTAGTGCTCGCAAGTATACGAATTGGATGATTGTATAGCATATAAGCACCGATATCGTCTGACGTAGATCGAATTGATTCTCAAAGTCTTACTAATTAAATTGACACAAATTATAGTTGAGGAGCTTTAATAAATAAATAAATAAAAAATAGATACAATTTGAATTAAACTAAAATAAAATACAACTTCAAAAATAAAATGCATAAAATAATAAGATTAAAATATAAGAAAAGAAAACCTAAGGCATCCGAATTCACTGTAACCAATCCTACTTAATTCTCTTAATATGTTATGTTCAAGTAGTTCCATAATATTGTTGATCGATTTTCCCTAAATTATTCGATGGCCATGACATTTGGTTACATCAAATGTATCCTTACATGTTAACCCTCTATGGCATATAGATGGATTTAAACAAGTAAGAACCCATTAAGCTCTATGGAAATTGTTGGAAAATCACATAAACCCTAATTGTATGGCATCTACAAATAGGTGTTTACTGTATCAATTGCAAGAAGCTAAACCTAAGTTGAGTATGGCATCTACTCTAACTTGCATCAAATCAACCTAATTTAAACCTAAATGGTGATAAGCATCTAAATAAAAATCAAGTGCTTTACAAATAGCAAAAGATACTCAATAAAGAAGAAAAACATGATAATATAACAATGCCACAAGGCAATTAAGTATTCATGATTAGGCTACATCATAGCCCTAGTAAAGAAAAACTCCAAAGTAGCTCTTCCTCTTGGCCTTCCTTGCTGCAGCCCCCTATGTAGAATAGATGATTTTTGGTTTTGTTTTTGTAGCTGACTTTTCACAAGGAGAATGGATCTCCTTATTATAAAACCCACGCCAAGGGTATTAAAGGCTAATTGAAATCCAATTAAAACGCCACTAAAATCCTATCACTAATAGTCTTGAAGTCCTTATTAAAGAAAATGAAAAATAAACGGAAATAATAAAAACTAGAAATTAAGTTCTCTCCTAAATTCCATTGATTATCATTCCCATCTCTATTTGATTCCAAAACTGCTCGGTTTCATCTCCTTGTTGTAATGCACATGTCTTCGCGCAGCTAGTTAGCCTTTTGTTCCACTGCAATTACTGTAGACACTTGAAATCTCTATTTTTCACTTCTTTTTCACGTAACTCCCGTATTGAATGCTTATAAATTAAAACAATATAAATTAGTGCATTTAACCCCTTCATATATACAAACTCCAAAGGAAATATATGATAAAAATATGCACCCATCAGTAATACTTTTACTTTAGATTAATAAAATCACTTTTATAGTTAGGGAGGGTCCGTATACATCAGCCATTTGTGCACAATTAAAGTAAAAAGAAGAGAGAAAAAGTAATTTACCAAAAAAGATACCCTATCTGCTAGATTTATATCCTCTACAACAGTACACAATGTCTGATCAACAATCTAAAAGTCAGAAACAAGGGGGAAAGAAATTAGAGAAACATATTTTCGTATCGCGGTTTCGATCAACAGATATCGATCTGATCTCCTTTCATTGGACCACCGTTGCAAATGTGTGCAAGTTGCTTAAAAGTAGAAACTAAACAGTCATCGCCTAGCTAACAGCCTAACAGTTAGTTCCTGTTGCAGTGCTTCCATGGTCATCCCAAAATTAAAGGGGTCTAATTAAGATAAGGGAAGAACTTTCTGATGCTGTCAATTTTTGCACATGCTGCAATTCCACATGGGACGTTCCAGGGAGCGCGGGCACCTTTTGAACATGCAGCGTCGACATTCCACTCGCATCAGTTGCATGTCATCATCATACGTATTATGCAGAGTTCCCTCCACCGCCAACTTTATAACCTAGCTAAGCTATCGTACCTTCTGCACTTTGGCATGCATGATGGTCAAAAGTCTCAAAACCACCAATTTTTATTTATTCATTTCTTTTAAAAAGCAGAAAATTTGGTGTGCTAGGGTTTTGGATTACCCATATACGCGATATGTTTTAAGCGACTATATAACTATGCTTATTGAGTGATTAATCGTTTGTAATGCTAACATCCCGGCTCTAAGTGCGATTTACATATTTAATGTACATTATGTTTTGACATGTGGAGAGAGATTGAACAATTTCATTGTCATTGTGGTGCTCTCAACCACTAATACAAGATCGTGGGAAGAGAGAGTCTTACACATGAGTTTGTATTAAATGCTAAACCCGGCTGCTAAATTCAACAAGAAAAGTACTCTTTTGAGCTGCAATGCTACATATCTCTACAACCAAAGCTCCCACGTCAATCCATGTAGGCAAAAGCAGTATATGGCTAGCAAGTCATCGCACCAAAAGCACCACATGCATGCATGCAATGTACTTTGCTTTGTTGACGTTCCAGATACCCAATTTAATTACCAGTCTTCTAAGCTTTCGTGTAATTCATGGATAACTTAAAAAATAAAGTCACAATTTCTTATGAATTATGTCTGTGAGGCCGCTGAATTCTCAAAGGCACTGAGTTGAAGCAAAAAATTATTCAAAGGAAAATAAAACTATCAAAAAAATACGTTTGTCAGAAGTGGGATTTGAACCCACGCCCTCTCTCGAAGACCAGAACTTGAGTCTGGCGCCTTAGACCACTCGGCCATCCTGACTTGTAGTTGTTAACTTTCTTAAATTCTTTTAATTAATTAAAACGTGTGTATATGACAATCATTAACAAATACGCGGCTCCATGTGTAAAGTTTAAAGCAGGAGACCCACAGCGGGAAGTGCATTCCACGCCACCATGGTCCATGCATGGTCTTACGTGGAGCCTTATCAGCAATGTCGGTCACTCCGAAGCTTTTGCTTTACCAGGTTGATCGATGATCGACATCCATAAACTTAATTTGGACAAGCAATTATATTTCTTTATTTTTTATTACATACTGTATTATTTACATTAAAGGTAGAAGAGTGGATTGAGCCTCAATGACAGAGCCTCAATGAGCAACCGATCAACTTGTTTGGGTTCTGGTATGGTATTATCATCATCATCCTCTTTCTTAAACCTAAATCTCAATCATCTTTGATTTTCTTCCTCTCTCCGTTCATTGATACTCGGACCAAAGTCCTTACCAAAGCTCACAAGCAACGGATAGCCTAAATTCCACATGAGCTACCAACCTCAAATCAAACTCGATGAAAGAAATTAAAGTAAAAACGCTGGATTGGGGGCCTGAACCGAGCCTTCGAAAAACTTTGAAAATCATAAGTACAACACTAAACTTTTATGTGTGGAAAAAGTGTCAGGAGGGGCCTAAGACCATCTTGTTCCCTTCATGGCTCCAACTTTGTTAAACTTCTTAATGAATTAGTCATAATAATTTAATTTAAATTCGCTTTTAGTGAAAATTAAGGGAGATAAAATATGTAATTAAAAGAGACATGTTTCATGATATACACATCTAATCACGTGGTTTGCTTGTTTTAATTTTTTTCCTGGATTCTGAAAATTTGCTAAACATATATGAGCAAGATATCAACCATAATTAAGATTTGTGATCAAGCTGATTAATTTCAGTTTAACCAAAAAGACACACATAAACATGATCATTTTTTATTTAATTTTGTTTGGGCGGCAGGAGTAAAATTATAGACATCAACAGACAGTACACGTGGCGAGTTACAGAGCACAACAGCTATGCGTCCACCGTCCCACGTGCTAGGTTTCCCGTCATTATGCAAAGAGTTCGCTTTCCAATTCAGTCTCACATGCTCAGTCTCAGTCTTGAAGGTATCGACAGTAAAAAGAGAGGATCTGACGGATTCTCTTTGTGAGAATTCTAGAATTATTTAATTATATATGTTCATTGTATATCGTGCAGTTAGTTTTTGTCAAATACTGTTCATATTCAATTTTAAATAAAAAAAAAACTATAACGATTTCTGACCGCACGATATACGATGAACGAATGTGATTGGAGGATTCAACAAGGATCCTTCTGAGAAAATAAACAATCCAAACACGTTTAAGCACTAATTGGTCAATTTCATTAACACATTTTTATTAGGTAAATCGAAATTTGGTTTACCAAAGATTTTCTTCTGGCATGTTAACTATCGATTACTTGATACACTCTCTTTTCGATTTTATTCGAACTTAGAACTTGCAGCGTAAGATAAACTTGCATAGAAGAAATTAATATCAATTATATAATTGCTGAATTTTTCTTATAAAAAACGAAATAAATTCTTGTGCATGGGCATGTACGTGCATGCTACATTGTAAATTATTCTAATTTTTCCGATGAAATTTTTCTCTTCTAAGAAATCTCCATTTCTTTATGTGATTCGGTTCACTATCTGAGCTAAAACTTGTAAAATTAATTCTTAAAAGGAAATGTCTAAAAAAATACCATTCAAATTTGAAACTACATGGTCGTTGAATTAAAGATTTAGGGTTTCTTTAGATAATCGTATTCGTCCACTTTCTTTATTATAAATGAATGTCTTAATAGTTTTAAATTTGTCAAACTTTTTGCAAATAAGATGATCTATGAATGATATTTTAAAATATAGATGGTTCAGATAGTTAAAATATATTACAGAGTGAACCTCACAAAAACGTGTTAAAAATGGTGTAAAAAACCCAACATATATATATCCTTTATGCAAGGGGATCTCCATTTTTTTCAAATGGGAATTAGGTGTGGGGCTCACTCCACAACGAACGTCAATGATCTGGACCGTCTATTTTGTAAGTCTCGATTCATAGATCATCCTTGCAAAAATTCAATTCAATCCGAAATCATTTGCCTATTTAATTATCCAGATAAAATTTCATTGTTTCTTATACAACAAAGTATTCGTTAATTTCTTTGAACCCAATTAGATATCTTAAACATTTTCGATTTGGCTAATATTTTGTAAGGATGATCTATGAGGTGCAACTTGAAAATAGACGATTCAGATCGTTAAAGTTCGATGTAGTATAAACCTCACAACTAATCCCTATTTTTATAAAAAAAAAATAAAAATTCCTTCCCTTAAAATTTTCCTCTATATATATGTATAAGATTTGAGCATTCAATTCCACGTAGAAAAGTTGTCAACCCCATAGAAATTGGGGATGCTTCCCCCATTGATTGAATCATTGGATTCGGAAAACGATCGAAAAGCAAAGATTCTCAAAGATTCTCAAGAAACATATACATAATTTAGTGGTCGTAACACGTCTCTTAGGTGGAATTTGTTGATACTTGATACAAGAAAGGGATCCTCTTTAGATCATTTCCTCCTAATCCATCACATAAAAGAATCCATGTAATTGAAATTTGATCCAACGATTATCAACAGGGATCTACTTTAAAAGTTATAATAACTTCAACTGTTGGATCAAATTTCAACGGTACGAATCATCTGATTTAATGGATTAGAAGGAATGAATCAGGAGATGATCCATTTCCCTACATACCAAATCAATAGATGGTCGATAGAATAAAGGAGAAGAGTAATATACTACATAATCAAGTGCAACAAACATTAATTGTTTTCATCTTATCTTGTTTTGTTTTGCAAACTTGTTTATATATAATATGCGTGGCACTGAAACTTAAGCTTTTCTATTAAGTACTATTGTATTTTATAAATTATATAATATAATTCCACATTCACATAGAATAATAAAGTTCATTTCTTCTAGAGTGTCACGTTGAACAAAATTATTGATCTAAGAAAAATAGAAATTGTTTCAAGTGTCTGGTATTTAAATAGAAAAACACAAAAAAATTTATTTCTTCTATTTCTTTTATGATATATAAAGTATCCCTTGAATACTCGGTACTTGAAAAAGTCTGTCGACTGAGAGACAGCACTATATCATATGTAGGATTTTGTTATTTCCCTTTGCAGAACTTTCCCTCAGGTTGATTGTTTGACCTACGCAAGTTACATGGCTCATATAATTTTTTTCATCACACAATCCACCATCTTTATAAGTAGTCACATGCAAACCAAAACACCAAGCAATCACACCCTCCACAAAATCAACTCAAAAATTTCTTCACCACCAAATTCCATTTCTCCTGCATTAACCAGTAAATCTTCGGGGGAATGCAAGCATCCATACTTCAGTACACAAAGATCCCATCATCCCTACGTATTCTTCAAGATTATGGATCTGATGGCCATTTTCCATTTTTCTCCTCTTCACATCACTCTAATTTTGTTTGCAATTTGCTGCAAAGGTATGTAAAAAAAATCAGTTCTGCAGTTTATTAATTTCCTAAAAATTATCTTTCAAATTTGAAAAAAATATAAATCAAATATGTTGCAGGAATATCAGGAGCTACATTTACAGTCATGAACAAGTGCGACTACACAGTATGGCCGGGAATTCTATCCAATGCAGGGACTACCAGTTTAGACAGCACCGGCCTTGAGCTCCCACCGGGCGGCTCACGTTCCTTTCAATCTCCACCTAACTGGTCCGGCCGCTTCTGGGGTCGAACAGGCTGCAACTTTGACCCCACAACCGGGGCTGGCACCTGTGCCACCGCCGACTGTGGCTCCAACCAGATGGAATGCAATGGTGCAGGTGCAACCCCACCCGCTACTTTGGCCGAGTTCACAATTGGCGGCTCCGACAACCAGGACTTCTATGATGTCAGCTTAGTTGACGGATACAATTTGCCCATGATGGTGGAACCTAGCGGCGGTTCCGGTAATTGTTTGTCGACCGGGTGCGCCACCGACTTGAACCAACGGTGCCCCGCTGAGTTGCAGTTCGGGAACGGCGCGGGGTGTAAGAGTGCGTGCGAGGCGTTTGGGAGCCCCGAGTACTGTTGTAACGGCGCGTTTGCTACGCCGGACACTTGTAAGCCGTCGGTGTACTCGGAGATGTTTAAGTCGGCATGTCCGAGATCGTATAGCTACGCGTACGACGATGCCACGAGCACGTTTACGTGTAGTGGAGCTGATTACACCATAACCTTCTGCCCTTCTACTACAAGGTAAGGATCATATGGAATTATCACATTTCACTCAAAGAGCAAAAATCTTTAATTTTTCTTCTTTCTTTTCATTAATTTTATCTTTTTTTTTTTTTTTTTTGTTATTTAAACTTTAATGAAATAATTTAATCTAAAAACAATGAGTAATAGGACTCTTTTATAATTACGTTTTCGTCACTTTAATTTAACTTTATATATGTTGTGTACATATACATGCAGTCAAAAATCTGCAAGAGATACATCTCCAACAACAAGCACGACAAATACTGGGTCAGGTTCCAAAGGTGGGAGTGGAACGACGGCCGGGGAGCTGCCGACGGTGGCAGGAAAAAGTAATCCGTCATGGTTACCAAACTTTTACACCGGAGACTCGTCCAAGACCATCTCTTCTGCTGCTCTTCACTATACGTTGGTTGCTTCTGCTGCCATTGTCTACCTTATCTCCTTGCCTTATTGATCATACGATGCACTACTGCACATGGATCCTCAAAGGCTGGATCAAGACACGTGTATAGATTAATTATATATATTAATTAGCGTATTCAATACTTTCTCTGAACAATTTTGTAAATTGATTAGTGTTCCTCGGCATCAAAGAAAAAGCTTTTTGAGATTGAGGCAATGTCATTAATTATATATTAAAATTGATTTAAATGGAGATTACATTAGTAAAAGTGTTTGCTTATCTTTGAATCTAAGGAAATGTAATTTGGTTGGTGAGCCAGCACACAGCACCTGTAAAAGAAAACAAACTTTGCTGGAATCACAAGCTTTGGTAGGTCTGGACTTTTATGCCCACTTCAGTCTCAATGGATTGTAATCATTATTTCTTGCAAATGATTTCCTCTTCCTCCTAAGAATCTTGATGAGATTCGAAAATGTACAATGCTACTTGTTAACGCTCAATTCAAATTTGGGAGGTTAAAGAAGATAAGTGTGGTCGTTCTTTGGTGGGCTCCGGATAAAAACAATTCAAACAACAAGAGTTAAGCGGTTCACCCTAAAAACTAGGCTACATCCACTGAGGTGCTCAGATATATTGATTGACTATTATAATAAGCGCTCGGTATAATCTAATCTCTTTTTCTTTCCTTTCTATCCGACTCGTTATAATTGCTACTCAACCCTCTTATATAGGCCCTTGGTGAGTCCCAAAAGTCTCTAGGCTCGAGTCTTCCACCGACTTCAAATTTAATGAACCAAGTACATAGACGTGACCTTCTAGCTGCCCCTCCGTTCTTTAGTTGAAGTCCACTTGCATGTTTTATTGGGCTAAAGCGTATCGAACACCTTGCTCGGCCCTGAGGTTTAAGGATACCCATGCCCGAGCACTTGAACAGTTAACCTTTAGGTCCCTTCATGGGCTTTTGCTCTCGTCGATGACCAGCATATGGCTTGGGGTTGGTGTCCAAGTAGGCATGTCCCTAGATTTCGTGCCATAAAGTTGTCAGTATGCTAACTTGCTGTCAGCAGTCGAAACATACTTTATGAGGAGGTGCTCGCTTCATCACCGACAGGCAAGCCCGACCGTTGAGCGGTCATCCGTAGAGATCAGGGTTGTCACTTTGTAATCCCATCGGGCCTTGGTCTCCCCTTCCTTTTTTGGGCCTTGGTTTGCCTTTCTTCTTTGGGCCTTGATCTTTCTTTGTTCTTTTGGGCATTGGCCTTCCTTTCTTCTTTTGGATCTTTATTGGGTTTCTCTTAAGCCTGTTACGATTTTAGGGGCCGAAAAGAAGCCACTTCTTTACAGTGTATTCTGGTCGCTGATTTGGTCGTATGGCCATTTCCTTGAAAAATCAATCTAATTCTTAAGATCCAGAAAAACTAAATTTGCATGTATTTTGGTCCTACCGATCGCACGCCATTCCTATCATGTGTGATAACGATCATAGTCAGGCAAGAATAAATAACCAAGAAACAGAAACAGAAGATCGAACAACATTATAATTGCAAGGAAAATACATCACGGCATTGATTAGTCTCTGCAATTCATCAATTAGATGCTGGAGACAAAATTCTGGTTTATATGATTACAGTAAATCTATTCAACCTAACGTCTTAACTAAACCAAACGGAATCACATAACTGCAATGTTTCGAATTCCCGTTTCTCAAGTCAACCTACAACTCGTCCTTAAGTGAATCAGCATCGGTCTCAGCCTCAGCCTCGGGGGTAGCTGCAGCTTCGTTTGCAGCAGTTTCTGTCTCAACTTCTTCAGCATCATCTTCCTCCTCAACTGCAACATCAGGGTTGATGTTTAGGCTAGACTTCACTGAACTGTAGATGCGGGAAGCAAAGTCCTTAGGGTCTGGAAGATTGAAGCCGCTCTCCATGAGTGCGGTCTGGTAAATAAGCTGCGCTGTCAGCTTCACACTCTCATCCTGAGGAGCAAACAAATTATTGCGTAAGATAAACCACATTCGTCATCAGTTCTACAGATGATTATTTTGAGAGAAACAATTTTAATGATATGGAGGTTTTTTGTCAAGGAGTGCACATTAAAGATGATTAGAACATACCTCAGCGTTCTTTACTACTCTCTCGCGGAGCTCCTTGATGATTGGGTGCCTTGGGTTAATCTCAAGTATCCTCTTGCCACGCATGTATCCTTGCTTGTTAGCGTCTGATAACGTCTGAGACTGCATGATCCTCTCCATGTTTGCACTCCAACCATACTTTGATGTCACAACCACACAAGGGGTGTCGGCCAAACGGTTGGACAGCTTTACATCATCCACATTGTCGCTGGCAAGAGCACTCTTCCACCATTTAGTGAGCTCCTTGTATGATTCCTTGAGTTCCTTGTCCTTTGAGTCTTTGCCGAGTTTCAAGCCCTCCTTTGACACGTTCTGGAATTTCTTGTCTTCATAGTCCATCAAGTACTGCATCAGATATTCATCAACTGGATCTGTGAAGAAAATAACCTGCAACAATACAAGTGAAAAGGTAAATAACATACAAAAACATGCCATTTCATGACTGAAAGTAACAAAACAAAAAAAGCCAGAAAAGAACTAAAAGGATTGGAGATTTTCGTATTTACCTCAAAGTTTTTCTTCTTAAGCCGCTCGAGGAATGGAGATTTTTCCAATTGTTCCTTGCTGGCTCCAGTAATGTAGAATATGTCCTTCTGCCCAGATTTCATCCTTGAAATGTACTGATCTAGTGAAGTCAATTTGCCATCTGACTTGGTGCTGCCAGAGAATTCAAAGTAGTCATTCAACCACATGAAGGCGACTATAAAGATGTCCTATGCTGTCAATAAAACTAAACATAAATAGTAACATAAAAATTATAAATACCTCTCGAATCTTAGGAGTTTTGCCAAACGATTCCTGTTAGCCGCATCCTCAATGATACCAAGTTTAATGGACTTGCCGAATTCATTCCAGAATTTTGTATATTGGCCTCTCTTCTCCTCTTCCTCACTTTTTTCAACCTCTGTTTTCACATCAAAATTCAAAAAGTAAAATTGATCAATTAATGAAAAACAATTTTTTTTTAAGTTTTCAGTTTTCAGGTGATGGAATTGATGCAAGCGAGTCCAGACTGCGGTCATTATGACATCAATACTATATAGCAATTAATAAGTTCAGATTGAATACTTCCAGAACTGTAAAGAAAACTGATTGCATAAATTAAGCTCCATACCTTTGTTGTCTTTGTCACTGGACTCATCAGGATCTTCCTCAGCAAGTTTACGGATCATATCAAGAGCTTTGCGGATAAGTTTCTTCTTGATGGTCTTCAAACTGCTGTGTTGTTGAAGCATTTCTCGGGATACATTGAGTGGCAAGGTGTCGGAATCAACAAGACCCTGTTTGAAAAATCATCAATGTAAAATCCAGTTTTAGGCTAGCATGTAAAAAACCAATCCCATAAACCTGATGGCAAGAACTTACCAACAAAAAGTTTAGATACTTTGGCAAGAGCTCATCAAATTCATCTGATATGAAAACCCTTCTAACATACAACTTCAAGTTGGATTTATTGGCATTGTAATAGCTCTCGTATAAATCATGAGGAGCCTTAGGAGGCACAAACAGGACAGCCTTGAATTCCACATCACCTTCAGCAGTAAAGTGGCTCCATGCTAAAGGCTTCTCATCACTGAAATCCTGTTGAACAATATATGTGCCATTGACGAATACACAGTATAAAAGGTGATTTAGATTCCAAAATAACATTTTACAAGGTCAAGCAACCATCATATGTATCATATACAAAAGTTACCTTGGCGAGAGAGTGATAGAATTTGGTGTACTCTTCATCGGTCACTTCCTTCGGACTGCGTAACCATATAGCTTTAACATCATTAAGAAGTTCCCATTCATAAGTAGTTTCTTTTTTTGTCTTTGTCTTTGGTTTCTTCTCAGCATCTTCATCTTCATCTTCGCCTTTTTCAGTTTCCTCTTCGCTTTTCTCAGTTTCAGCTGTTCACAATTGTTGAGTGCAGGGAGGCAACAATATGTGAGAATTTGTATCAAAATATATGAAATTACGAATATATAAGAAATTAACTTCTTCTTTAAGTACCAAGCCTTAAAAGTAAATTTGAAAAAGGATTTTAAACATGGCTGCATACATGATTCCTCTTCATCATTGGACTCATCCTCATCAGCAGGAACCTCCACATCTACCTCTTTGCTTGCCCACAAATGGATGGGGAAGTTGATAAATTCAGAATATTTCTTCACCAACTCCTGAAAAACAAAACAATAAGTAAGTTATCATGAACCATCATTTTAACATAACCAGTACATTATAATTAACGTGTAGAACTATCATTATTTTCTTTATGTGGCAGAATGTTTGGCCGTTAAACAAAAACAAGAAAAATGTATCCAAGTAACGGAAATGAGAACGTTACAATTCTAATAGGATTGAATAAGAAAGGGATAAATTGTTTTTACTAAAAAATGGGGGAACCAACGTGAGCAAAATCGAAATAAAACCAAGTAATCACTGGTTAGAAGTCCCAAATGGGGAAACCACTCACTTTTAGTTTGCTCTCTTCCAAATACTCCCCTGCTTCCTCTCTGAGGTGAAGTCTAATTTCAGTACCACGTCCTAGTGGCTCATTTTCTGTATCCTCGGCAACTACGAATGACCCATCAGCCTTTGACTCCCAAATATGCCTGAAGCACAAGAAATTTACATTGTCATCATTAAACAGTTAAGTATCCCCTAAAAAACCTGTTAGCATAAAAAATGAATGAAAGAGTAACTCGTTATAAACCCTTACTGTTTATCATCATTGTGTTTGCTGATGACTTCCACATTATCGGCAACCAAGTACACAGAGTAGAACCCAACTCCAAACTGCCCAATAAGATTGAGATCGCCGCTAGTCTGCATCTTCTCCACAAAGGCTGCAAGGGAAAAATCAAAGTTCAATCAGTATATAGTTGAAACAAACACTCAGTTCCACTCAAAATTTTGATCCACAAATAAAAAACAAGCATGTACCTGAGGTTCCAGATTTAGCTATGGTTCCCAAGTTCTTGATTAAGTCTTCCTTCGTCATACCGATACCCCTATCGCGAATGGAGAGAATTCTCCTCTCCTTGTCTAATTTAATCTACAAATTTTTCAAATCAATGCAACAAGGTTCTTAAACATATCATTTCGTATGCTTCATTAAGTGAAAAGCAGAGCAAGAACCACTACTTACCTGAATTTCGAGGTTAGTGTTATCGCCTTCGCCCAAAACATCCTTGTCCGTGAGGGCGAGGAATCTAATCTTGTCCAGTGCCTGAGATCGATAAAATTTTCCGATTAGCAATTGCAATCATGTCAGGTCAACGATAAAACACTGAATGATAGATTAAAGTCAACGCGTTACATCGGAAGCATTGGAGATTAACTCCCTGAGGAAAATGTCCTTGTTGCTGTAGAGGGAGTGGATGATAATGTCCATCAACCGAGACACCTCCGCCTGGAACTCGAAGTGCTGCGCGTTGCTGCGCTGCGATCTCTTCGAGATTGACTCTGCCTCCCTAAAAGTACAACAAGAAAAATGCATCTACTCAGAATCTAGGCCTTCGAATTTTTCGAGATCGGATATTGGAAATAACAAAGCTCTTACCTCTTGGCGACTTCGGAGTCGGTGGATAGCCCACTGGGAACAGCGCCGATCTTCTCCTCCACCTTCGGCGGATCTACGAGCTCGTCGGAATCAGCCTCCGCATTGGCCTGTAATTTCCGACCTGAACAAACACAGATCGCCAGAAAACCGTAATCAATTTAAAATCTCCAAATCGAACTAAGATTTCAGAAACATATACTCATAGCAATGCATCGTTCACCATTCAACTAATCGAGATCTACACAAACGAAGAGAAATGCGAGCAGAAACCCTAGGCGTACCTTGATCGGGGAGGAGGGAGAGAAGGCAGAGCAGAAGCAGAACGGAAGGGATCGTCCACTTCCTCATCGTTGCAACTCCAGAACACTTCGAAGAAGAAGAAGAAGTTCTAGTAACTTCGCTCGCTGAGATTTATCCGATTCAGTGTGTGCCGCTTGCCAACATCTCTCACAGCTTCGGATTTTATATATGGCTCCTGCCGTTTAGACGGGGGCATGAGTCGTCTAACGGTGATTGGCTTGGTTTTGCCAGCGTGGACAAATCGACGCTCTCTGATTTGTTTGGGGAATACGTGGATGGTTTTTATTGGGCCTTCTCTATTTCCTTGACGTGGAGACGGGCCCACCGACGACTTGAGAATTCCAGTCTTGGCTTTGACGGGTCAGATCAGAGCCTGTGTTACCACCGTGGATGATCGTAGGGCTGGTGTTTGCTAGTTAGACGTGGCAGTCTAGTATTGGCGCTTGTTTCGTCCTTGACGTGGAGAAATAATATAAAAAAATAGCTTTGCTTCTGATCTGCTTGAATTATCAAAGCCCAATTACAATTAATTGAATGAAGAAGATTGGGCTGGGCCTCCATAATCTACAGAACTAATAAGTAAAATCTGCATATCTTTTCTTTTTGTTAAAACCAATTGACTAACTAATCTTTGGGAGTGATTCCTGTTGACATCTGTTAGGTCATTAACGTTAAGTTATAACGTAAAAAAGTATTAAAGAGGGTTTTCACTGTCACATTATATATGAAGCTATGAGTCCCTGAATCCACCCCCTTTTAATCAAGAAAATTTAGGAATCAAAGTCATTGATTTTGGACATTTAAAGTTCCATAAATGACGTATTAGTGAAAAAAAATAAATTTGTATTTGCCCACGTCATGAGTTAATCCTTGTGACTTTATCACTTAACATTGGTTACCTAACTGTCAATTATTCAAACATTAGGTAGTTATTTGAAAAATTTTAAAAAGTTGAGATCAATTTGAATAAATCCCTAAAAATTAAGTGTGTATCCGTACTTACTACTTGACCCTTTTTTTTTCCTCAAGAATTGTTATGTGTTTAAAATAGTCATCTTATGCTCATTCGTCTATCCAATTTCATTAAGAAAAAGTTTGTGATGATTCTTTTGGAATAATGAATTAAGTAGCTCCTTACCAGCCACTTAGTATTATGGTCAAATGATATTTCTCTTAACTGGTAAGTGAGAAGTCTTAGGTTCAATTTTTGCCAAAATCGAATTTGAATAACACTATTGCTAGCACATTATGTGATCAAACCCCACCCCTCCCTCCTAGTGTAAATAATATCGTTTCTTAAAAATAAAAATAAAATAAAATAAAAGGTCCTCACTTCATCTTATAGTTTTTTCTTTTAAATGAAGGCACGTTCAAATTTAATACATGTTTTGAAAAAATAGAAAGAAAAAAAATACTAATAACAAGCTTAGTTGCTTTGTAAGGGTATTAAAAAGGAAATGAAATAATTCCAGTTTCTAGCTTCATCACTTTTACAAATACACAACATATGGATTATGTAATTAGTTGTCAAATATTTTAAAAGGGGTATGTTATTCACACACCTCATTTTACTTTTCACACTTTTTTTTAATTTTCGGCCGTTAGATCGGATGAATTGAAGAAAATCAACGGATAAAAATTAACAAGGGGTGTGTAAGAAGTAAAATGGGATATGTAGATAGCACACCCCATTTCAAAATCATAAATTGGAGTAATACTTTTCCCTAATTGATTTTTTTTCCCATTCCTTGTCTTTCATAATTCCAATGCCGTATTTCATCTACTTAAAATAAGCAAATGTCCCATCTTAACAGTCTTTTTTTTTTTTTTTTTTTAACAAACAATATTATCTACACTAAGGAGATGAGGTGGGTTTAACCTCTCAATAAACTAGCAATAATGCGATTCAAATTCGCCTTTGGTGATAATCAAACTGAAGACCTCTCACTTACAAGTGAAGAGAAATACTACTAGACCGTAGTAGAAAGTGGTCCTATATAAACAATTAATTAGATGTATCTTGAGTTCGATTCCTAACGCTGATAAATTACGTAATTATGACTAAAGTAAATTGCCGTGACGAAACCACTAGCGGAACGTTTTAAGAAAAATATAATCAAATACAACACAAAAGTTTAGCCAAATATTTATGAGACGCAATAAAACAGCTTTTATGTTTTATCAAATGATAAAAAACTTAGTCATTGTTTAATTAAAATAATGCCAGCCTCTGCATTATCTTTACGAAAAATATATATGCTTTCGCGTTACGCTAAAGTTTCTTTTACGCCTTTAGGCTAGTTGGGGCTTATTTCTAATTCGCTCAACGAATGAGGCCATTGCCAAATTGCCATCACACTTCCCTAAGCTTTAAATTTAATTGGTTAATATTTTATGAAATTGAATCCGATGTAGATGCAATGCTTTTGAGCCATTAGATCTCAAATCTTGGCGGCCTTTTTATGCCTTCCGAGAATGATATCGTTTCATCGATCATGAAGCTTCAATTCGTTGCATCTGAGTATGTACGTATACATGTTGCCTCATCAACCATACTTTAGAACAAGGCACAGGACCATCGATCAAATTGGAATCCAATTTTCGTTAATGCTAATTATGTTTTGGCTAATTACATTTTATTTTATTAAGATGTGAACACTGATAGATTCACAAAGGGTTTATTACGTTCTTACGTACTTTACACTGGCGATGCACATAAAATTATCTATTACGTTGACAATCTTCATTAGTTGGACGTTTGATGAGCCACGGTAGGTAGTTACTTTGACTTGCATATTTCATATACTTATCGGAGGAGAAAAATATCTATATCCGTCATTGCTTTTTTAGTATGACGAAAGACCACTTACATATCTCATCTACTTACTAAATGCTCCGAAATCGTCATTGAGTTTTAAGTATGGTGAAAGATCAGGTACTAAGATTCTCCTTAACATCTCAAATTGATCCAACTTAATAATTAAATTGGTGAGAAGGGAAAACTTCAAGCAACTGCAAGTCACCAGTCTAGAAAAACATACATCCAACATAATAATTAAATTGATCTCCTTTCAAGAACCGCCCAAAAACTGAAGATAAGCTCAAGATTGAGCCTTCTCCATCAAGACAACATGATCAGATGGCAGCTGAGAAACATCAAGACTTTTTTTACGAGACGGTGTTCTAAATTGCTCAAATCAACGGAATTAATAATTAAATTCAAATGGAAGAAGACGGTATAATATCCTAATTAACTGACTTGACGTATATTTGTGTGTGATGGATTCTTAGGTCTAAATAAGAATAATGGGGTTTAGAAGACGAGGCAGTGTCATAATTAACTGACTTAACATAGAATTACATGCGACTGATTATTTGTCGTTTGACCGATAATAGTTAAATTGAGTGTTAAAAGATGATGAATAATTTTGATCAGACCTGACCTCTATGTACACGAGATCGATCCTTATTTATTTACTTAAAAAGCCCTCCAAAGTTCCAATAATTACCTCCAAAGTAGTCAAGATTAGCGGTTAATAGAAGCAACCTTTGATTAAATCACTTAATCGTGGACCCCTTTAATTTTTCTTTTAAATAGCCGCCACTCCACCCTAGACATGTCAAATAGAGGTCAAAGAGCTAAGTTGATCGGTGTCCCTCAAATTCTAAAAGCCCCACGGCCCCCAACCGCACCCAGACCCAGCAGATGGCGGTTTCTGACGCGGTGGTTAGGAACTTGACGACGATTTACGTGGCGCTCATCGTCGCCATCAAGGCGTACGGGGTGGCGTTTGGGCAGAGCTTCGGCGGTGCCTTTGTGTTAATCCTCTCCACAGCCGTGGTGTGCCTTATCCTGTTCCTGACTCTGACATGGGACGTCTCCCGTAAAGCCACGTATGCAGTTTCGCGCGAAGACAATCCTCCTCCCGTTGCTCATGAGACGTGCAAGGGTGGTATTTGCTGGCACGGCGTGGCCGTCCGCTCGTCGGCTTCGGACGTCCGGTTTAGGCTCCCACAACAAATCAGCTATGGAGGCTCTTCGTAAATTTGATAAATAACAGGGGGGGAAATGAAAAAAGAAAAGATCGAGGTGGGTGAAGTCTCTCTTTCTTGGTCGTTGGTGTGTATGTATCTAGTATATCTAGTAAATCTACGAACGCCAATACATAGAGGTTTGCTTTTTGGATGGAGCGAGGGATATGATTGTAAATAAATAATTATTCCGGACAAGGTGATGATATTTAGCAATTTTGTGTTATAAATAAATTGGCCTCACTTTTGATTATTTAAATTTCAAACGGTGTCTTTTGACTGAACAAAAAGTTCAGACGGTGTCCGAATGTAGATTGGGTCTTTTTATTTATTTTTTAATAAATAATAACGTTAATGGATTAAATTATTTAATGTCGAATATTATGACAGGTGAGATATGTGAAAAACCGATGCATTCATAAATGAGAACCGATGCCCCGGCCGGTGAAGCCTAATGTCAGTATAAAAGGTGTCTTTTCGTGTTCTGTATTGGCAGGCAAGGCATGCTAGGTTGCTAACTGAAATGAACCAAATGCCAAGCACAATTTTGTTGAAATGGTTGTTCTTCAAGATAATAGTGGAGGATAGTCAACCTATTAATCATGAAGTGTTATAGTCACTCTCATTTTCGTGACCGGTGCTTTCGGCGGTGTTGTTGAAGGAAAGCAGTTAGGATTAGCTTCTGTGTTTTTTTTTTTTTTTTTTGGGTTCAAAACTTTGTTTTGGGTATTTGGGTTACTATTGAGGTCTATTTTTTTGCTTGTGTGGTTATTTTATATGAGCTTTAATTTGTGTAACTTGTTGTATTGTGGTAATAAAGTAACCTTTGACCGAAAAAAAAGAGAGGTGAAAGTGGCTATTCAAAAAGGATATTTTAACGTCTATGATATTGGTAGGATACTATCTTTTCTCAATAGAAAGTAATGTTGGCGACCTGAGAAGGGAAAATCAGACTTGAGATTTTGAGCATAAAGACGGATAAACGCAAAATTTCAAATACAATGATGAATAATGCTCTAAAGTCTAAAATACTTAAGTTACAAACCTCGTTGTGGAGCAATAACATAATAGTCCATATATTTTATAAGTTGACAAAGAAATCTTATAAATTTA